GGGTCACTCCTGGTGGAGGGAGGAAGGCTCAAGTATGCTTAGGAGTCAGGTTACCATAGGAGCAATGCCAAATGAAAACTTTGAGCAAGTTTAAGAGCTTTTTTTTTTTTTTTGCTCTTAGTGTGTCCTCACACTCTATTGGGGTGGTGCCAGTGACCAGTTTATACCACCAAAGTATGTGATGGTCTATCAGCAATCAGGAGACATCTGTTCTTTCCTGTTGAAGTCCACTGTGCAAGTAGAAGACAATGGGAGCCACACTTGACCCTCACTCTTTGTCTGACCAGCACTTCCTATCAATTATGTCTGTACATTTCACATGAATAAGTTTCCTTTCCTTCCTCTCCCCTATTACTATTTGTATTAGTTTTCTCCACAGGAAAAAAAATCAGGATATATATGTATTTATATATCCATAGTTGTTTATACATACATATACATATACATATACATATATATATATATACATATACATATACATATACATATACATATATATATATATACTATCTGTCTATATATGTGGTGTGTGTGTGTGTGTGTATATATATATATATATATATACATATATAATTTATTTAATAGGAAATAACTATTATGGAGGCTGGGAAGTCCTACCATCTGTCACTTCCAAACTGAAGACCCAAGGAAAAAACAGAAATAAACAGTGGTATAATTCAGTCTGAGTTTGCAAGCTTGAAAACCAGGGGAATTGATGGCATAAATTCTAGTCTGAGAGCAGGGGAAGTTGAAATGATAATGTCCCAGCTCAAGGGGGAAGCAAAAAACAAAATAAAAAATGAATCTTTTATTTCTCTACCTTTAGTTGCAGGCCCTCAGTAGAGAGTAATTTTTGGCACATATGAGAAAGAAACATAAGTTACTAAGAAATGTCATCTTGGAAATTAAGAGAGGCTCCTACTTAGGATACCTAGAGACCTGAGACGTTTGTCATCCCGGGAGTCCTCATTATAGTCTAGACCAGCATCTTCAGTCAGATGCTGAAGACCGTCATTCAACCAGAACCTGGTGAATGTTGTCAAGAAAGAAACATCATACACTAAAGACTTAGTTCTTCCAATTTAGAGTAACTTTCTTTTGGATAGAAAACCCCTGTAGGTCTTATAAAAGATAGAGAGGGAAAAAGATCCATGCCAGTTTATTGAATTCTTCTTAATCTCTTCCATGAGGCCAGCACTAGTGACTTTACCTTGGAGATTCAAGCACAAGGTACCTTTCCTTTCCATGTCACACTTCATACCAAATACAGCTGCAGTCTACATTTAATAACTATAGAACGAAAAAGGATAAGAGTTTTGCATGCAACATCTAAATTCCTATGCTTAGCATATCATTTTACAATGCTTAAAAATATCTTAAATGGATTTTGAAATCTTGAATGCTTTAAGTGTATGTTGGGATGAAGGGACTCCAAGAAATGGAATTCCCTTCTAGGGAATGAAAGGAATGAAATAGATGAAAGAGGTATATCAGTTAAAATGCAGTCTGCTGACCATTTGCCATGTCTGTTTTGATACAATTCTAAAGCAAATTGTTTTCTTTCATGGCACTTCTTAATGATTGGTGGATATTCTCAAATGTTACCTTGAGAAAGATTCTGTTGTCAGAAATGGCACTATTGATAATTATCAAATAGTCAAAGTTGATTTCAAAAGTAGCACTTCTACAGGTAGCTAACTAACACTTTCTTCTTTCTCCCCACTGGAGTGGATAGTGCTGATTATTGATACTTCTCAGTACTGTGTGGCACTTTTCATTCCCTGGCATCAAGCGCAATGAAATAGGCTTATAAGCAGAATTGTCATGCAGTAGCCCTGTGATGGGAAGCTTAGCTAGAAACACATTCAACGGGTCAGATTTGGGGTAGAGGGAATTTTCCATTCACTCATACCTCCTTGCCCTTGGTTTTGCCAATGGAGAACAGAACAAGGGCACACTCTTAAAAACAAAAGACAGTTTCACCAGCTGCATGGGAACAGAGTAAAGTATAAGAGGAACTGAGGGAAGGTAGAGAGGAGAGTTAACTACAGGGAGCCAGGAAAACCAGTCAAAGACAGAGAAAATACCCAGTGGATTTCAAACTTTTCCTTTACCTTGTTGAGAAAATTGTTGATTACCACTCATGGCTTTATCTACGGCAGTAAGAATTCCTGAAAGCAGTTATTTGAAATTCTTGTTCCAAGGGTCTAATCCAGGGAGACTTTATATTTGAAGCTAACCCTGCCCTATAGTTCTCAAGCAGTTGAGGCCATTAAAAATAGGATGGAGGGAGATAGGAAAGGGAGCTGTCAGGTCCTTATCAGTGAACTGATCAAATAATGAAAGAGTCTCAGTTCTTCCAGTTTTCTACTGTCCTGACACCAGCCTTCCATGGCTTTCTTGACGAAGACACTCAGAATAAGACTTGAATTGGGTTGAACTTAAAGTTTTAAATCAATAACTTCAAGTGGAGATTTTAACAACTTCAATGATCTTTGCCTTCATTTTCTTTACAATTTCCTACCCATTATTCTTTTTACACAGATTCAAATTTGGAGTACAGTGGTATTCTGGCAACTTTGTTACAGGAGGTAATACGGACCTCAGGGAAAGAAAAAGGAAAGAAAAGTTACAACTATCCCCTACCTTCTCTGTAAATTGTTCATGATTTTGGCTTTTAAAGATAACCTTGCCAAAATTAGTCCATCATCAGTGGGAATGTTTTCATTCTTTAAAGGAAATTTACCACAAATCCAAAAACGCAAATGAAATAGCAATGAGATAACACTCAGAAGTATCTGGTTCCGTGGTGGCACCAAGAGCACAGAAGGATGCACCATGATGGTGGCTAGATGAGAAGTCTTCAGTTTGAAAAATGCATGCTTCCCTCTCATTGTCTAACAAGACAAAGGGATTTTGTTAAGTTACTTATTGTCTCTAATCCTAGTTTGTGTATCATTTATTTAGTAAGTTTTTAATGTGTGTGTTCATTTATTTATTTTTTCGGTGCTAGGGATTGAACCAATGTGTACTCTATCACTGAGCTAGATCCCCAACATTTTTTTTTCTTTTATTTTGAGACAGGGTATGGCTAAGTTGACCAGGCTGATCTCAACCTTGCAATCCTCCTGCCTCAACCTACCAAATAGCTGGGATTTTCTGTATTCTTTAAATCAATTCTATAATAGATGATTACATCACTGTGCAGAATTCACTGGCTATATTTGGAAACTCTAAGCCAACTATTTGACATGGTGGTGCAGTCTAATGTGTGGGCATATTTTTTTTTTTGATGGGTACCCAAAGTATTATCCTTTGACTCATTAATTCACTTATGGGAATCTAATGTAAAGAGAAGAAAACATATAAAGAACTACAGCAAATGATTCATGCAAGAATATATTCATAGCAGTGTTATTGATGATTGGCTTCTTAAAAACGTACTTGTGTGTGAAAAAAGTTTGTTTTGGGATGAGTATTTATTTTCAGGCATACAAGTGTATCTTAAACAAACATGGTTGAGACCTAGGGATGCTTTTCTGGGAAAGAAGTTTTTGGATTTGATACATTAACTTGCTGAAAGATTGACAGCTGTTCTAGCTAATTCTGTGCTTTGGCCACCTCAGTGGAAATTAAATTCAGTCAGGGTGTTCCTCTGGAGAATCAAACTCTCTCTCTCTCTCTCTCTCTCTCTCTTTTGCATTAAGTGGTGCTGGCTATGGGAGCAGGCTAGAAAAGGTCAAATCAGAGCATCTTGCAAAGGGAACTGCTCAGTGGCCTTGAAAAGAAACATTTACAAGGAACGTGATGTGTATATGGGTATTTCCATGATTTTACCTGATGCAGCTCACGGTATTGTTGTGCAGATTAGTGTTTGGAGGCCAAAGGAGAGAAATGGCAGGGTTGAAAAGTAGGATGTGGTCAGTTCTGAAGTTTGTGATATAAAATTCAAATGGCTCTCATAACACTTATTCACAATATAAGGTGTTATGCGAGCTTTCTTCTTAACCTATCTATTAGAAGTCACTACAGCCTATATTGCTCTGTTGTGCACACAGATTTGTGTTTTTAATTTCTTACAACTTTATAATGTAGAAACAATCTAGTCATTCTCATATAAACTTGGAGACATTGCCCCCTTATTATACAGAGAATAATCTTATTCTTTCTGGTTCTGTTCTATATACAATATTCATTCACTTTCTATCTTATGCTATTGCAAATACTATTAGTAAATTTAAAATATGACCAATGTCATCTAAGTTGGAGTAAAAAGTTTGGGCAAGCACAGAAAGGCTTTTAAACTCTGCCTTAATTCTCCTTTCAGCCTCACCTCCTTTAAGCTGTCTGGAACCTCCTGCCAGACTCAGTGCTGAGAAATGCCAAGTTCTCTGTAATTCCCAGGGTGTCATTTTGCCAACTTTTCCAAGATTTTGCCCACACTGTGCTTCTTGCAGAAAATGTCAACCAGGCCTCACTCATTCCTCTCTTTTCCTACCTCCTTTGATGCAAGCATTCTTTCTCTGTGATAGCTTTTTTGGTCTAGTTATTTCTTCTACCAGGATCCCTTGGGAGCTGGTATCTATCTCTCTTCAAGCACAATCCACATTTTAAAAAAGTTTTTTTCCACGTGTATCTCTTTAAAAGCCATCCCAGAGCTTGGCACGTAGCTGGCTTGCCATATGGATTTATTCCATGAGTGAAAGTAATTATTTTTATATCTTTGGTTCCCTAGAAAATGTTGATGTTTCCATCCCCTTATCTTCCTGGAGACTCAGAAGGCCCTCTTTGCAGATAGCACTGTGATCCTTAAAACAGGAGCAGAAAACAATCTTGCGAGTATATCTGAGCAAAGCTGACATATTTTTTCCTTTAAGATCTTGCAGCTGAATGTGGAATGATCCTGAAATTAAGGTCAGCTCCAGGTGGTTGTTTATATCAGCTGTCAGATTGCGGAATAAAAAATGGCTTTTATATGTTTGATTTTTATTGTTTTCCAGGGCAATGTCACTTTTTCCTGCTCCGAACCACAAATTGTTCCCATCACATTTGTCAACTCCAGCAGCAGTTATTTGCTGCTGCCCGGCACCCCCCAAATTGATGGGCTCTCAGTGAGTTTCCAGTTTCGAACATGGAACAAGGATGGTCTGCTTCTGTCCACAGAGATGTCTGAAGGCTCGGGGACCCTGCTGCTCAGCCTGGAGGCCGGAATCCTGAGACTGGTGATTCAGAAAATGACAGAACACGTAGCTGAAATCTTTACAGGTACTGTCTGATGATATCCTTCTAGCAGAATTTCTTCTTCTCCTTCTTTTTTCTTTTTTTGGATGGTACCTTGTTCAGCCAGTAAGTCATGAGGGATCAACTTAGAAGTTCTTCATCACTTGAGCACTGGAAAAAAAAAAATACTTCAGAAGACTGTGAATGGTCATTACATAATAGAATATATCTCACTTAGCAATGTTGAGAATCTTCTTAACAAATTTCCTTTATGTCCATACTAAGGCAAGACCTATTATGAGAAGGGGCCTTATTCCATAGTGTCATTAAAGCTAAGAGAGAATTTGTGCAGTCAGAGGCATTTTATAAAATTTATTAGATTTCCAGTAATGGGAGTGAGTTAATCACTTAGAATTATAATATTTTTTATGTTCAGAGTTATAAAAGTTAAATCTCCATCCTCTTTATTTGGAGAAGAAAAATGTGAGCTGGCACTGGGCTGTTTCTCTCTAATCGGTGAAATTTTTGAGTACAGAGACTTGTAGGCCTCAGGTCAAAAATGCAGTTTTAATATAGTACAGGCTCTGGCGGCTCTTGGCTCTAAAGAATCCAGGTGCAGCCTGTATTATTAAGCACATGTCAGTCCATTAACATGCATTTATGACTGAGAAAGACGCTGGTAAGAACTGCCACCTTATCCAACTACAAAAAGGGAAAAATCATCAGTTATTTTAGACCTGTCTTTCAAATATTGAAATAAGTGAAAGGAAATCTCAAAATGTGCTGTTTGAGTTCCTGACATCTGTCTCAGAAAACTCTTGCATAATTCTGTCCCTACGGAGAACTTCCTGCATTTTGGAAATTTTGCACAATTTCTTAATTTGTCTTTCAAATGGCTCAAGAGTTTGTGTTTTCTGGCATTCGCCTACTTGGGAAGCAGGGAGACAGCCAAGAAAAAGAAAAAAAAAATATTTCTGAAGGAACTTCTTTTGAAAGTATTTGAGATATCATTGGCTTTATGAGATGAAAATCCCACATAAGCAGTGAAAATATGATGGCTTATTGTCCAATAGTTTGTGAAGACCAACAGGGCTACACTTGATATATAGTTGTCATGTAAAATGTAATACAGCACCATATTTTATTATGAAATCTAATATTAAAAGCTTTCTTTTGACTGGGTCTGATGTTTCTAGCATCCTGGATCTGTTGGAAGTTCATTTCTATGGGTAGGTCAGCACATGGCTATCTGAAACCTTCACTTTGAGCTACGTACAGTGTGCATGCTTTGGAGAAGCAGTAAATTTGGGTTTCTTGTATTGTGGATGATAAGGAGACTTGCAAAATAAATATATCCATACATCTTTAAAATGGAAGGCATCTGAATTTAGTTGTTTTAGGTGATGGTGCTTGGTAAGATGAAAAATTCCCTTCTTTGTATTTTTCTTAATTTTCTATTTTTGTTGTCTCCTTTCTTGAAAGTCTTACATATGTGTTTAGCGAGAAGGTCAAGGACCTCATTTCATTGTTAAGTGATGTGAGGATAGAACCAACATTCATTGCAGGCTTCCTGCTGGTCAGGTACATATCCTATAGGACTGTGACATAGGGGTCTGTCAGGAGGGGGGACGTAATGAAACTGACAGGATCATAGTTATTCGACCAACACACATAGAATAAAACAGAACCAGAAGGTGAGTTAAAGAGATGGAGATAACTGATAACCTAAGTTCTTTCCTTTGGATTTCCATTACCTGGTTTTCCTCTGTATCCTGTTGCTATATATATTCATTGTTTATATTGTTTGTTGCTTAAATAACTCATATAAAAAGAGATCCTGCTTTAGATGAAGGGTCTGCAGACAAATATGCAGTAGTCTACAAAAAGAATGGGCTATTTAGGATCCATCATTGTTTCTTTCTCAAGCATTTTTCTTGAGTTAAGTGGGATTCACATAACATGGGGAAGCCATTGTCTTTATAGACTTCTAGTATACTTTAAGTAAGTTTTTGGTGTAATACAAAACAAATTTTACATATCTAAGTACCAATAAGCACAAATATTCACTGAGTATTATATATTTTACATGGGTTTTTCTAGATATGTTTTAGCTCTTAATATGTATTCTGCAGTAGGATTATCATCTGAAATGAGAACTAAGGCACTAGAGGCTGAAGTCTCTCTCAAAGGTTTATCTGCTTCCAAGGACTTTGCCCTGTATTCTACAGCATTTCCAATGCTAAACACCCTAGTGCTCCCTGGCCCATATGGAAATTCAGACACTGCATGGAAATAGATGATATCTTCAAGGAACTTGAACCACAGTGACTCTAGCTCTTAGAAATCAGAAAATTTGTTTAGGCAAGTCTTAAATTAATGAAATAATATTTCAGCTTCCTGCTTTACAAATTTAGAACTTCCTGTTCTTTGCTGCTCATCATGAAATACCATGTACAGTGGAGATCACCTTCACAATAGTCATATGATCCTGAGGATCTGTCAAAATTCTCATCTGTTCCCTGAGCAATACCTACCGTAGTCCATTTTTTAATGAGGAAAATGGCTGCCATTTCAAAGAATCTTAGAAAAATGCTTAGAATTGAGATTGATGATGACCATTTCAATCTGAATCACTAAGAAAACAGGGCATTTATAAAGGTAAGAGACCACCTGTTTCATTTTCTTAGGAAGAATGAGGAAATGTCATGTAAAATGTTAAATAATGTAAAAAGAAAATTAGCATTGCTATAATTATTTTGAAAGTGATCTGACATTTTTTTGTTTCTATTTTTCTGCTGAGAGAATGCAAGACAGTAAGAATAGGAAATAAAGAAGTATGGAGTATCAGTCCAAAGATAGTTTTTAAATTGTAGTGCTTCACAAAATGTCACCTCTCCACTAAAGAGAATCTGAGCAAAGAAGCTGATGATGGGTTTTACTGGTCCAGGCTCCAGCTCCCCTGGGCACTTCTCAGGTGCAAGGTAGGCATCAGTATTGCTCTGTTAAACCTCAGCTTCCTCCTGTTTTAAATGGAGGGCAGACATAGAATCATGGAACCCATTCTAACCCTTTCAATAAGTTCTTAAAAGAAATGTGTAAGTCAACTTTCTCCTTATTATTTTTAAAGAACTTATCAAACCAAATCTTCTTTTGAAATGAAATAAATGAACACACTTTCCCATTGATTGGGAACTCCCAGGGCCAAACACCTTACCAGAAATAATTCTTTTCAACTCCTTAAATTCTGGTACATTTTGCCACTTTGATGCCATGATTTGTGTAACTCATATGCTTGTACATCCCATAGAGGTTACTCACATGACTTTCAATGACCAGTGGAAAATTAGAATACAAATCTGAGTGTTTGTTTGTTTTGTGATGCTAGAGGTAGAGTCCAAGGAAACTCTACCCCTGAGGTACATCCTAGCCCTCTAGTCCCTTTCATTAATATTATTATTATTATTATTATTATTATTATTATTATTATTATTTATTTTGAGAGAAAGACAGGGTCTCATTAAATTTCCTAGGCTGGCTTTGAACTTGGAATCCTCCTGCCACAGCCTCTTGGGCCATTGAGATAATAGGCGTGCACCAACACTCCTGAGATTTTTTTTTAAAATAACCTCCTAGGTTAGCCAGTTTTCTGTCCCTGTGACAAAAATACATAAGATATTAAAGTAGCAAAGACTTATTTTGTCTCAGAATTTCAGAGGCTTCAGTATATGGTCACTTGGGTCATTGCTTTGCATCTGTGCTGAGGCAATATAACATGGAGGGCACCCTGTGGTGGATTAAAGGTGCTCACCTCCTGGTGAGAGGGAAGCAAAGAGAAGAAAGGATCAGTCCCCATAGTGCCTTTGATGGCATGTTCCGCACTAGTGATTTAACTTCACTCAACAAGATCCCATCTTCTAAAAGTCCTATCTCTTTCTACTACTGGACCCATCAACTGGGATAATACGTGGGCCTTGGGAGGATACTGAAGATCAGAACCATAACACTTTCTTTAAATCACACTTGAATACTCTGTGTATGTGTGCGTGTGTCAGTAAAGTAGTATATGTACACTAGAACTTTCAGAATTAAAAGATGAATCGGCACTTTAGTCTCAGCATAAATTGAATGAACTCCAGAAGAAACAGGAAGAAAACTCCAAACTGAGAGTTCTCAGCCTGACATCTGGGCACCACCAACTGATGATAAAGATAGAAAGTTAGAAGGTGAAAGCCCATCACCTGGGTTGGAACAGAATCTCTGAAAAATGGGAACCATGGCTAGCAAAGAGCCATACACGGATGCCATGACAAACGCTTTTTAGTTGAAACAAATGCCCTATTGGAGCCCATTTTAGTTCAACCCATTTCTAGGAGAAAACTACGGTGCTTGTTGTATTTCCTCAAACACCTAATAACTGTTCAGTATTTCTGTAGTCCCATGAATGGTACTAGTTGGACCGAAGGCATTAAAAATATCAGTTAAGCCATCCATTCTATTGGTCATTGATTTTCAATACTTGCTAGACAGTTGTGTCTTCCTTTCTATATCATGAGATTCTAGTGACATAACTTGGATCAGCCTTAAGGAATATTATTTGATGTCTATTTAACACTGAGCTCATTTCAATTAAGTTATCCTGAGCTATGGCCAACACCATCCTGTCTTGTAGATTTTATCTCAATTGATATTTTCTAAAGAAACCTTTCCAAAGAAGGCCAGGTGGCCCTTTTCAAGGTTTCCAATTGTTCTTTGTAGCTTTTGTCCCAAGTGTGTGGTGTGTGTGTGTGTGTGTGTGTGTGTGTGTCTGTATGAGCATGTGTGTGGTTTTCTAGGTCTTACATAACAAAATATAAAGCAAGTAACTTAAATAGGAATTTATTTTCTCACAGTTCTATAGGCTATAAGTCCAAGGTCAAGGTGTTTGCAGGGTTGATTTTTTTTTTTTCCTGAAGACTCTGTCTTGGCTTGTAGATGGTTATCTTCTCCCTGTGTTTCCACATTGTCTTCTTTTTTTCATGGGTGTGTCCTAATATCCTCTTCTATAT